GCATACGTTCGACAAAGTAAAACATCTCAACTTTTACATTTAAACTTACCCTCTTCAATCTAGTTTGCATGTATATAAACAAAATTATTTTACGACTCCTGGTTTAAAAGTCATTACCGAGCCTATCGCAGATTTTTCTGGTGGAGAAAGCAAAATATTCATGTACCACACACGACTTTATTTTCCATACACTATTGTACAAGCGTCCTGTTTCTTGCGTGTGCACAGAGAGACGATCGAAGAAATGTCATAAGCAGTGAAGCTGTGCATACATAACTAAGTAGACTAAAAACCATTAAATTTCCGGGTTAAATAGCCTTGTAAATATACATACGTACACATATATCACGCTTTTACGAATATAATGTACATATAAAATAAATGTGGTTCGCGAGCCAGACACACTCCTCCTCAATAACTGCGTATATATCTACATGTTCTATGTTCGTATATTATATTTAAAGTATATACGGAGAAAGAGAAGAGATAGGCGCGTGGCGAGCCGTCGTCCTGATCATAGTCGTCGGTGGCGGCGGCAGCCCGATCATCTGGCGTCCGTTAAGTGAGCACGCGATCGGCGCAACGCAAGCGGCAGATGCCCACCTACACACTTATGTACCCACCCATAAACACACACACACACACACACACACATGTACATAATAAGTACGAAATTTTTTTGCTTTTTTTTTTCTTAACGAGAGTGTGGTCAGCTGCTGGCGTGATTCACCACCTTCTCGATTATTAGTTAGTTATACATGGTACACGATCGCCAATTATACAGCCGGCTTGTGTGCAGCGTACGAATATATAATGTGTTATATACGCGAGAGAAGAAGAAAATTATAATTATTGTTTTTATTTTTTTTTCTCTTCTCGAACGGCGAGATTTGTATATAGGGGGCAACAAGCTGCAAGTTTTATCGCAGTAGAGAAAGTACGCAAAGTTTGATACGCGCGAGCTAGCTGGGCTTTTTTTTATTTTTACATCGTGAACGAGAGAGAGAGAGAGAGAGAGACGGAGGGAGAATTCGTAAGACCGAGAGAGAAAGAGAGCGAAGGGTACAAACGCGCGCGGATGGTAGCTATATACTATATATACGGAGGGTGGCGAGTCCATTAGCAGATTACGTCCGGGCGACGAGCGTGCACGAACCACAGCAGCAGCACAGTCTGCGCGCTTAGCTGTGTGAGTACTACAACGTGCGCTGCGCCTTAGTATGCATGTGTAAACTATATATATATGTGTTTGTGTGTGACTATGGTAACAGTACTATCCAAGAATGTATATATGCTATGGATAAAGTAGAGCATAGTCCGCTTGCACGGAATCGTCGTCGTATAGTCGCGCGCGAGGAAAAGCTTCCAAGTTTGTGGCTTATTGATGGCTATGGTTTTTTCGACGCGGCCTCCATCTCTCTCTCTCTCTCTCTCTCTCTCTCTCTCTCTCTCTCTATATATATCTTTTCCTCTCGGTCTCCTTCGTTTTCCTTCTCCCTTTTTTTCCTTCGTTACACTCGCGACCATGGAACAACTAGTTCGATACAAGTAGTCGAGAAATTACATGGTCTAAAGTTTCGAAACGATATAATTGTAAGGTTTTTAAGGAAGAAGAAAATCTTGCAACGCACAGCGCGACAATTGAGACACTCTCAGAGGAATAAACTTTTTGTCAACTATGCAATACTCGTAAATTAAATCTTCGGCATATATATTTTTTTTGTCGAAAATACTATTTGACGCGATATTCTTTATATACGGAAGCACGAATGTCGCTGTAAAAAGGCCTACGACTATTTTTAAGATTGTTGATCGTTGCCATTTTTGACAAAGTTGATGGAGCTTTCAGATGACTTATGCGAGATCGTAATTGTTTCTCATTAATTTTTTCCGAGAAATCATATTCCGTTCACATAAATTATTACATTTAAAATTTTAAATAATCAAAATATCGCAACTTTGACTACATAGATTCAGATTTTAAGTGTTGTGTCTTAAAATATATCATTTTTGAGTTTACAAGTCCGGTTCGGGAGCCTCGAAATTCTGAGAAAATGTTCGACAATATAACGATTTAAGCATATTTTATAAAAATATAAAAACTTTTTCATATATTAATAAAGAAAGCATCTTTTGGTAATAGACCTAGTAACTCTTTGATAATGAGTATAAAAGATCGACAGAAATGCATCATGTGGGTAAAAAAAGAAATTACATTGCTAAAACTCATATACCAACTCGTTAGATGAAGCAGGTGCTCAAGTCCTTAGACAATTTGCCATTTTTCACCTACTTTTACTGAAACAAGTATTATGTATCTCATAGTTTTCTAATACATACATCGTTAATTATTTCCAGGCGTTTTAATGCCAAACGATACAAACCGAATGAATCACGCTCGATATATATCTCACGTTAATACAAAGATGAAATTCCCCATCTCGCTCGTTCGAATTCCAGAAGCTTTATTAGATAATGACGTATTATGGATGGAAGTCGAAAGTAACCTTGTTATAATATGGTTGTGCGGCAGCTCCGTTGCGCTGATATATATCATATCGGCAATCGAAGCTTCGCCGCAACAACGCCTCTCTCCATTACAATGTACGTCTATATTACGAGAGACATAGAGAGTTACGATCGTTCGTATATACATTTCTATCGAATATCCGTGATATCGAATTATTACGCCCGAGGTCGATCATTCTATATTTCTCCCTTTCTTTTATTCTTTTTTTTTTGAGAATATATACAAACACGCAAAGCGCTTTTCATTGGGCAAAGTCGCTGATAAATAATGCCCAAGTAGCACTCCAAAGAGCATTCCTAACGCACAATTACGCGGCGCGCGGGTGTGTTCGTTCCTTTCTTCTGCTTCTGCAAATTTTTCATTCGCTGAGCAGCAGCAGCAGCAGCAGCAGCAGCAGCAGCTTCTCTCTGTCTGTCTCTCTCTTTTACGCATAATAAGGCGAAATTTATTTGGCCTTTCTTCTTTTTATCGGGGAGCCAACTTTGCGAGCCTACGATCGCGTTTTTAATGTTAAGAACGCACGCGTGTATACATTATGCCCGACGTTGGCTTGTTTTGTGCCTATATATCGCTCGCTGACTAATTGGCCGCGGAAATTTACGCGTGCAATATCTGCCACGCGAGCTTACGTTCAATTCGTGCAATACACATGCAATGCAAAAGAAGAAGCCACATCTCGTTCATCAGCGAAAACATTGTATAGAACTCGGGCTCCCGACGCAATGCAGTAGCAGCAGTAGCATATAGCCTAGCCAATCGCGCGATTTTCGCCTAATACCCGCGGAATCTAATATTTGCGTTTGGCTCTACCAGTAATTAATCGGAGAAATCTTTGCCTTCGATTCACTTTCGGCGTATAGCCCTTTCAATGTAAATCTACGCGCTCTCGCGGGGCGGCATCGGGAGAGATGAGCCTCGCCTATACGTACTATACTAGTAGTGGTGGTAGTAGTAGTAGTAGTAGTAGTAGGCGGCGCGCAAAGGTAAACATTGCGTTATAGATGCGCGAGCCCAGAAATTTTTAATGAGAAAAGCAAAGCCAAGATGCCAATTATATCGTCTAATCTCGCGCTTGCGCGCACTGACACTGATAAAGCTATTCGATATTGTATAGGCGCTAGGCTTATAAATGCGCGCGCTCGGCTCGATTGTTTGTCTATGCGTTATTAAACATTTTGTGTTATATAGCAACGTGGTAGTAGTAGTAGGCAGCTCCGCGCTCGCTCAACTCTGTGTTTTCCTTTGATTTTACTTAGAAGCCGATATGTAATTACCGAGAATTCGATCGATAAAAAAAAATTATTACCTCGTGTGTGTGCTTGCGCATTGCGTGAGCTCGTGTATATGTATTATACAATACGACGATGATAAGCCATGACTACATGATTTTTTTGCTTCTTATTCTTTCAATTCTGCCCGTCTGCCATATATTAACTCAGTGCGGTTCGAAACAATTTAATCACGGGCGTGCGGGCGCGCGAACGAGTGCAGAACGCAATAAAAAACGTCTTCGTCATGCAAAAAAACGAGGCACACCCCCGCGCACTAGAAGGAATGATTTTTCTTTTCCTTTTTTTCCGTTTGGATTGTTTTTTACAATTAATATCTAGGCATATGCTCGAAAATGTGCTCTACAGTATAGCATACATTATCAAGTAAAAGGCTCGATGCACTGTTTTACCTCGCGCGCGCGTCAATGTCACTCGCGTATCATGACTTTTTTTGTTTTCTCGAAAAAGCTCGAGTTACCACCACCACCACCAGCAGCGTACGTCGAAAAAAAAGGAGAAAACGTGTACACGGAAGGAAGTTGACCCAGGTGCTATTAGTGTAATGCGTACACAATACACGTATACTCTAGTGCTGCGCTGTATAATAATCGTATATATAGCGCGCGTGGAGACGCGCTTGCGAGAGCGCGAGGGGGCTGCGTGCAAGATGACGTCACGTCTCTCGTTGGCCTTACGCGTTTTCTCGGGTTGAACTCATCGCAGCCGACTGGTGTGACACCCGATCGTTTAGAATAAACAATACAACCGGGTGGTCCATTAAGACGCATGCACGCAGGCAGAGCCGCGTTATATGGCGAAAGAGAGTTGAGGAAAATGAAGAAGAAGCTTTTCTCCCGTGCGTTACTTTTCCTCGACGTGCGCCAATTTTCTCCTTCTCTGTCTCTCTCTCTCTGTCTCGGGCGCGTCTTCGTGTGCGGTAAACGTCGCTTATTTATTTGTACAGCGCGTCTTGCTCAACTCGATAATTCAATATTTTTCATGCGCGTATAAAGATAGTTTTGTTATTTGTGTAATAAGTGTCGAGGTCGCGATCGACGGAGGGGAGAAAGGGAAACGAAGAACCCGAGGGGGGGCTCATTAGGTATATAAGAATTTTAACATTTCGCCGAATCGATCATCGCCTCGTCTTAGCGTCGTCGTCTTCGTCGTATTTTTTAAAGATGCGCTGCTGCACTTACCCAGCGATATCTTGCATGCGTGATTGAAAGCTCGGCTTATCGGTGCTGCAGTAGTTGGCAGTGGCAGCAGCTTGATGAGAAGCAGTAGTAGCAGGCACTGCTTGGCCGGGCACGATGGCGCAGAGCAGCTGCAGAGCCGCGACGGCACAGGCGCCGTTGCTCGTGGTCGATGTCGTCGATGCCCCTGACATCGCGGACGTTGTCGTTGTCGTGGCTCCTCCGATCGCAGCGGTCCCCGACGCTCCGTTCGTCGTCGTACCGATAAGGCCGCCGCTGCTGCTCGGACATATCTCGAGAGCTTGGCTCGTGTCGTCTTGACTGGTTACCGCCTGTGCGTGCGTGCAAAACAAAAAATATAAAATGCAGAAATTACAAACGAGCGAAAGAATAAATTGTTCGCCTCCGCCGAGCCATTAGGTAAAGTAATTTTTCGGAGGGAGAGTGTATATGCATGCAGGGACGAGGACTGCACGCATCCGGCGCACACGCGGAAAAACGTCAAATTCGTTTAGGAATCTCGGCGAGCGTAACGAAATTATCACGCGGCAGTCCTATCCGGACACCACCACCACCACCACCACTACCATCAGTGGCAGCGACATCGGCGTGTACAGCATTATAATATATCGTATATAGTGCGCTTCTCTGCGCGCGTGCCATGCTTCATACGGGAGCCAAGTCCGCCGACGCCACCCTTTGCCTTTAGCGTCAAGTCCTATAATATGGCTCGCATGGATGTAAGCGAGAAAGCGCGCATATCTTGAAACGTTATAGATATATAGGTATATATAGGTACCATAACGCAGATCGAGTGTGTGGGCGAGACTGCTGCGGAGACGCGGCGCACACGGGGCACACACTAAGTGTCTATATACGCTGCGCTCCTCTAATAACACCGCACGCGCGCGTACAGAGAGAGAGAGAGAGAGTATAAGGGAGCACGACGCCTCTATATATATATATGCTACGCGAGAGCTAGCTGTACAGTGCATTAGCGTAAAGCCTAGTGGAAGTGGCGCCTAGTTGCGCGCCAAGGGCTTTTAGTGCTTTGTCCCTCTGTAGCTGCTCTCTCTCTCTCTCTCTCTCTCTCTCTCTCTCTTGGGCGCTTTACTGCTACTATTATATGTAATATAGTATATATATTGGTGCGAGATCGCATTCGAAAGGCTTTTAACGCAAGTCGCCCAAAAGAGCATAAGAGAAAAAGTGAGCAAAAGAGAGAGAGAGAGAAATTGACTCTTGCGTCGCGGACGTTTATCCGAACGAGAGGCGCGAGAAGCTTATTCAATGAGTGAAAACCGAGATCATCCAGAAAAAAAAGAATGAGTTACTCAATACGTAGTTACATATGGGTAAATGCTATATGGGTAATTTTTCAATCGCTCGGTCGCCCGAAACCATAAATCAGGATGTCGAACTCTCTCTCTCCCTCGCCTAAGCATGCGAGCGCCTAGAACCGATTTCGAACCCTTCGCAATGGGTCAGCATTTCCCGTGACCGGAAGGTCCATTTTTAGTCTTTGCTTTCCTTTCTCTCCCTTTCTCTCTCTCTCCCTCTCTTTTCCTTATGCACGCATACATACACTCAGGCATGCGTAAGTGCGCGAGCAAATGGCTATATATGAGCAATTCTACAATTGACCCGCCAAATTTTCGTCTAGAAACGAGTCCAATTTTCTTTTTCGCTGGACGCTTGTAATGAACATTGGTTGTTATTCTTGGAGGTCCTAGGAAGCTCGAAAAGTATGCGAATCAATGTTATTTTATGAGAGTATACGTCGAAACCTTGGTCGAAAACTTGAAAACACATCATACCATGACATAATGTGGAAACATTAAAATGACTGGTTTTACACCGGATTTTTGTCGTGGGGTTAACGAAATGACGCCCAAAATGATTTTGTTATCAATTTGAGAAAAAGTTTACCAGGAATAAAAACTCTTAGGATTGCTCAAAGTATACAGTGAAATTTTTGTTAAATTTTTTGAGACATTTTTTTTTTCAATCTTACAATCAGCATAATTTTTCAAAACTTTGAATAATAAAATCAAGGGGAGTGTGAGGGTAATGATCGGAGTCATGTCAAGTACTCTCGAACGTAAAAAAAAAACTGTTTTCTATAAAAAGAGAACGTTTCTTTTCACAGAAGTAAGCACAACAAAAATACCTACCAAAATTTTCATGCATTTTTCTAATTCCCTAGGACCTCCAGAATAATAACCCATTTTCAGTCGAAAATTTGGCAGATCAATTGTGGAATTGCTCATATATATATACGCACCGCGTATCAACAGGGTAAAATTGTAAATCTTAAAGGCCGCATACAATATAGGAAATCGAAAGTTTACTCTCTTTCTCTCTGTTCAATGAGCCAAGACGCGGCACTGGCCACTTTGATGATGTACAATGGTGCAGCCGCGGTACGCCCGCAGAGTCCTGCCCATAACGCGATTAGGGTGAACTTTTCTCTCTCTCTTTTTCTTTCCTTCGAGTGTACACACGCGCGGCGCGCGCTCGCATACACAACTACTGTAATGTGCAAAGAGAGTAGCGTTATAACCGGTAGCACGAAAGTATGTATATACGAAGTTGAGGAAAAAAATGTGAAAAAAAAGCAGAGAAAGAGAGAGAAATGACGAGCGGAGCGAAAGGAATGTATTCAACGTGTGCGCGACTTTAAGTCGGCTTTAATCCCCCGTTGCTAGAGAGATAACGTGACAGCTTCGACGATGCGAACACCTAATAACGTGAAATTCTTATACGATTTTATTTTACATATTATGCTTTCGCGTCGTTATGGGTGGCAAGATCGACGTGCTTCTTTTCTTTCTCTCATTCGCTCCATCTCTTTTTTTGCGATTTATTCGCTACTTTTATTTTGTACATATACGCCTCTCTGCGGTCGGTCTGATTACGCAGGAATGTTAAAGGAAATGCCATTCCCAGCGCAATGTGAGCACTTCGTGAATTCGTGGATTTGCCAACCAGACTCTGCTTGTATGTGTCACGCTAATGTAATTTCCCTTTGCGCGATCGCGGAGAGCTTTTTGGATATTTTCGGAGATTCGGTTCACGGTAGCGCCCTCGGGCGTCAACTCTTTGAAACGACCAGTACGCGCGATCGGTAAAAATTTCACGAATATGAAAGAGTGGTGAATTTTACCTCGAGCCTTTGCATGAGAAGATCGAGTATTACAATTATTTTGTTGCTCAACAGGACCATGTCGATATTGTTGCTGTGCCCATTCAAAGCCATAGCGTAGACTCTGCACACGGACACTAGGCTTCTGTCATGGAAAATAAAGAGAAGCTGAATATTGTTGTTTGGAAAGAGTATGAAGAAAAAGCTGAAACTTTTCAACTTACTTGTTCGGTAAAGCTTGCGATATATTTTGGACATTCACACCCAGATTAAGTAAATTTGTAAGAGTTTCAAATCCACCTAATTGAGCAAATGAATCTTGATCTAATGGGCACTGAAAAAGACACACAAAGTTGTGATCGTTATCAATATGAAATCAAATTCATCGATCATTGATCAAATAAAATAACAGTAACTCACGGCTTTAGAAAAACCTCTGGAAATTTCTCCAAGGCATCTTTCTAAACTGGCGACTGCCGCACCAGCCCAAACGGCTTTAACGTGATTTTGAGCCAGCTTATCCAACTCTTTTAAATTCCTGCGAAATTTTGATTTGTTGGACGAATCGACGGTCTTTGTGTTGAGAGACGCATCAACAAATTCTATACTACGAGCTGTCATGCGTTGCTTGATCTTTCGACTTCTGCGCTTCAGGGCTTTTTGCTTTTCTTTGGCCGCTTTACTTTTGTCCTCGGATTCAATCGCCGGTTGCACCGGGAAGTCTTTGATTTGCGTGATATTGAATTTTTGTAAATCGTCGCGATTCGGCTCGCGACCATCGTGCGCATTACGAACGGCCTCGGAATGTTGTTTGCCCTTCAAGTGACTCAACAATTGAACTTCATTCGCTATCTGCAAGAGAAAATTTTACGATTGGTATTTATTTGAGGCAAGTAATTTTCACTTCTGTATACAATGAGATATAAAACGAACCGTTTTATTACACAAACAGCATTGCTTTAAAATCGGGTACTCTTTCAACGTTGGTGGTAGCTCCTCGCTTCTCATTATACTACTCTCCACGGCACGCTGTCTGATGTGCTCGATATTTTCCACGTGTCTTCGAGCAGATTCTTGTTGCTTTTGCGCAATTTTCTTCTGCAATTCTTCTTGATTGGCCAGTTGAGCCGCGTGCAGAGCTGACAATCTTTCCTCGCGATCTCTCGCCTTTTCCCGAGCCAATTCCTGACGTTCCTTTTCACGCTCCAGTTGCATTTTACCCACCCTTTCCTCGCGTTCTCGTCGAACTTGTCTCATACGCTGGATTCTCATTAGTCTTTCGGCTTCTAAAGTCCGACGTCGTTCTTCTGCTGCTGCTTCTTTGGCTGCCTTCTCCTCTTGACGCCTTTGACGTTCCTCCTGGATACCCTGAAATCGTAGAAAAAGTTAGAGACGCGTACACTTTTGGGACGAGCGGACAAAATTTGTCTTACCTGTAATCGTTCTTCTTGTTCTTGACACAGAGCCATGAAGTCGTGACGTTTATTCTGCGCCTCGAGCTCATTGATAAACGCTATTTCTTTCAGCTTCGACTCTTCGTCATGTGCTTTGCGTACGATTTCCAATAAATACTGTGTACGGTTTTCTTCGGCTCTTTTGAGTTTCAGCTCCAGTCTTGCGCGTTTATCCTCTATGAGTTGATTCTTGGCGACTTTTACGTCCTCGACTTTGTTCAGCAGTTCTCGCAGTCGTTGAGATTTTTCCTCGAGTAGCTTTTGACGTTTACGCTGGGCGCAAGCTTGTTTCGCTTGATATCTGTACGAATAAGTAAATTTTTATCATTGACTCATATATTTCACATAAAAATCAGAAAGAGCAAAACCTACCTCCTGAGAGTTTCAGGCAGTGAACGTTTCCTGGACGGCGACGATAATTTCTGGTGAAGCTCGATCGCTCGGCCTGGATGTCTGGCAACCAGGGCTTGCAGTTGAGCCAGCGTATCCATGCGCTCGGCCCACGACATACCCTCGAGCATGTTCTCGTAGCGATCTTCCAAGCTCATGTCAATGTCGTCTACTGTGACAGTGGCGTCATCGCTGCTCAATGGAATTATGTCCTCCTCGACGTCGAGAATGGTTTCAGCATCGGTTTCGTCGGTTTCCGTATCAACGTCGATTTCCGTGGATTCTTTAAGAAAACACAAATTTTTATTAGAATCCTATGTAAAACAGCTTTTGCCTTTTTATCATCATTAACTCTTACCGAGTTCGAGAATCTGTTGCTGTAACAATGCCTCTTCATCGGACAACTGTTTGGACCGCTGAGAATCAGCTTCTTCGGTTTTTCTTTCTTCTTCGATCCATATACGTTCACGTTCTGCCTGCGCGAGCAAAAATTGTTGGATGCGCTTTTCAAGCAGTTCAGCTTCGCTCTTCAACGTAGCAGCTATCGTAAGGGAAGTTGGATTTACCTCGGACGACTCTTGTCCAGTCAATTGTTCTTTCTGTAAATGATTAATAATAGTATTAAAGTGGCTGAAATTTTTAGCTGTCAAAAATCAATCTAACAAACCTGTTCCTCTTTTTCGATTTTTTTACCGTCACCACTCTTTACAGGGATTTTCTGATTTATTTTATCCTTGCTTTTATTTTCTTTATCTTTGTCATTGTTGCTCTGAAAGATTTGATTACCGTTCGCGCCGTTATTGCTATTGGTGTTGTACTTTCGTTTGGAACGTGCCGAAGCATCCGAGACATTTTTTTTCATTTTATCGACAGGCACGGGCGATTCGGTGCACAAAGCAGGCAGCGAGCTGGCTGTGCTTGGTCGCTGGAATCTCGTGGACATGATAAGACCGTGCGAACTACCGCGACGCCAACGGCCTCGTACAGTCTGCCAACCGTCGACGTCCTCTTTGGGCTGTGGCTTCTGCTGTCTGACCGGTTTATTACGAGCCAATACTTCGCAAGATGCGCTCATGTCATTGGGGTTCATAGATTTGCTTTTACGAGAGTAAGGCTGTGGAAAAGCATGAAATTTTTCATTGAAATTTTTCGAGATAAATTGGATAACAGTGAAAGCTCGTTATGATCTTACTTCGCCCTGAGCTTGCATACGTCTTCTCACCATTACCGATGTTCCGGGTCTAGTTCTGCTGTTAGAAGGAGCAGTGCTACTTTGAACCCCCAAGGTCGTTTTGCTACGTATTAGAATTTTTGGTGGTTGTTCAATTTTTTGTTGCTGCGTCTGCTGCTGATTCAATGCAGGGGCCGAAGAAATTGGGACTACGGTTGCTTGCTGACTGCTACTGCTGAGGGTCGTCTTCATACGCGATATTGTGGAATAAGCTGGTTTTGTCGTAGTTGCAGCAACTTTGGTCTTGGTTGTGGTGCTTGAAGACGTACTCATGCTTACCGTACTCGGTTTGACGGGTGACTTCGTGTTGGTGCCTGTATTGACGGTTTTCACTTCTGGCACGCTGAAAAATAATTTATGTATATTATTATCCATGTATTTATAAGGACACAACCACATTTTCATAAAATGTTGATCAAAACCTTAAGGTTGTAGAGCTGGCTTTGTTGAGATTCGTGTTGATTTGATTCTTAACCGTTTCAATATCTTTTTTAACTTCGTTATTTTTTTTAGAAATAACATCGTTATTGGCGTTCTCTGAGTTAGCATTATTACTGATATTTGGAGAATCTGCGCTCTTGACCTTAGAAGTTGCGATTTGGGATTGTTGTCTAGTGCGAGCTATAGCGGCGGTTCTCGATTCTGCATTAGATTTCAGAACATTTACATTACTCTCTGTAAGGACTTTTGATTCAGCTTCTAGTGTCTTTTGACCTGAAGATGGGCGTTTCAGAATACTTGGAGTTCTTGTCTGGATTTTAGCTGAAGTCGATTTCTCTTTAAACACCTTATTTCCTAAAATTGAAATACCAGTTGAAATAAAATCTCATTTTGATAAAATATATTTCAAAATTATTACCATCAATTTTTGAAGCTTGATTTTTAGTTTCCTTGACTAATTTTGGATTCTTAGATACAACTTCTTGCTTTGGAGGTTGAGATTCAGTATTATTATCTGTGACATTTGATGATTTGCATTCAGGTATTGTTTCTTCTACTGCAATAGTAGGACTAGTTCTCTGCAACGGACTACCAGGCTTACTTAAAACTGTTGGATTCCATGTTCGACATGGTGAGGTTTTGCGAACTTCCCATGCTAGTGGTGTTCTTCTCAATGGAGGTGGTGATGTTTCATAAGCCCATTTGACTTTGAACCATTCTATAAGATTATGGAAATCACGAGTATAATTTTCCAAAACTAAAATTACTTCTTTACACTCTGTAATATTTTCATCTTCTTCACAGGTTTCATAAATTGCATCTACTGCTCGTTGTAAATTACCAAAAAGGAAAGCCCAGTATCTAGCTTGTATTTCTACAATTAAATTATAAATTAATTTCTAGTGAATACAAGTAAATTAATTGATAAATGGTACATTATTGTTGGAAAATTACCCGAACGTTTATCTCTGCCAGTAGATGCTGATCTAACCCTGGCACAACTTTTAAGAGATCTTTTTGATGCAGAGTTTTGAAGAACCTTAGGTACACTGGGAGGTTTACGAGTTATTTTTTCAGTGTCATCGGATTCCAAGGGTACATTGAATGCTATTAAATTTCTAGCTGCTCGTCCTTCTTCCTGGACAAGTAATCTAACATCTGCCATGATTATTGAATCTAAGCATAATAGAAATAAACAAAAATCAATATTCACCATAAATTGTTCATAACATGTAAGTATATGATTTTATGAGACATTAGAAAATTATAAATTATTTTTTCAAGAAATTATCATCAAGAAGCTCAATATTGTTAAAAATCATTTGATAGAAAATTACTAGAAGTGATAGCGCCGAAAAAAGTGACATGTTTGTTTGCAAACAAAGCGAGTCAATCACCTTCAACCCATTTAAATGACACATCAACGACACTTCCGACGTAACTCCACGCTGAATATCAATACAACCCACGCACGTGAAACCTTAACTTTGACGTTTCGTCGCGAAAGCGAGAAAACGAGACAAAAAGAGCACCGCGACAAATTTCGCATGTATGCACACTGCTGGATCACTGCAGCACTGCTTGCTGACCGCACTGTATATGTATAGTATTGCCTGCCTATCTAGCATATAAAGTGTAACAACAACCGACTTGATGTAAAGTCGTTTTGTTATTACTTACATTGCAGGTTACAAGAGGCGCACCAGGACAGGCAGTCGCAGACTGGAATACAGCAGCTGAGATTCGCGCGAAATCAGATGGTCATTCGCGGGCATGCGAGTCGCGCGAATTCACGAACCGTATCGAGCCTATACTGCGGTTACTCTCATCAATGATCTTTATCATTTGAATGTATCGTTTAATTTTTAGCAATGCATCATTGAGCAATCGGTTTGTACGATGGTCGATGAAAAAAAATAATTGCCGTTCGTTTTGCAATAATATTTAAGTATAAGGGCACTAAGACTAACGTAGACGCAGCCATCTAGAGGATATTAATAGATCTATGTAAAAAGAGGAGTGCGTTGAATTTACAACTCTGATCCTCTTGCCACTTTGACACTTTACGTTTCTTTTTTTAAATTGATTCGAAAAGCCATACGACAATTTTCGATTTTTTCAAATTTTACATCCAATTTAGGAAATTTAATAGCGTCAGTGATCTTCTTAATTAATCATTTTTCCATTGTTGTTCAACCAAAAGCTTTTGAGAAGCTTTGAATTTCAGCAAATCCAAAAAAAATACATTCATCGAGGGGGCACTCAATTTAGAAAATTGTGCAAGATGCGCGAGATAAGTCCGTCTTTTGCCCATGTCCCCCTATGCCATAGCAGTAGCATCGCAAATAATCATCATAATAATCCAAAGGCAAGCCGCGTATAAGTATGTTTGCGGGACGGCGCGACTCGCCAGTTAGCGTGTCGTCTCTCTTTCTGCCTATTGCGAGTCGCCCATCATGGCGAAGAAGTCGTCAGCCGATAAAGCGGCTTCTGCAGCCGATGAAAATGTGGAAAAGCAGCCCCAGAACGGCGAGGAGGAGCCGAATTTCAGCGACCCCGAAGACTTCGTGGACGACGTCGACGAAGAGGGTGAGTCCCCGAGTGCGAATCTCGCGGCGAGCGTGAAAATTCGCCACCGGTCGAGCGACCGCGTGGGAGTGCGAATTCTTCGCTCCAATATGTTTCTCGCTCGTCGCGACTACAGCGCGATGAATAACTGGGTCGCTTGAATTTTGCAAATTCCTTAGATGCATCGGAAACGATACGCGGATGCATGCGTGACTTTGACATTGTCGATGTTTTGTAATTGAAGAACTGCCAAGCGTCCCCCGCTGAAGAGGTTAAATTATAACCTATGCCGTATGTGAACGAGTGAATCGCTGATTCGTATATAGTGCACATTTAACGATGTATATTTTTATCTGCGAGGGACCCAGTACTTTTCCCCCACTTTTCGGATGGTTAATCTTTAATAATTATAATTCTGAAATCAACTTTACCTTGTAATTTCAATAAATTTTCAAAAATGTTTTAAATTTATTATTTCTTAAAAATATTTTTATTTTTTACAGAACTACTAGGAGACATCCTAGCCACAAAACCGTCTGAGACGGATGGGTATGAGACTGTTATTGTCGTCGATGGAGTTCCCAAAGTCGAGCCTAAGAGGCTTGAAAAGCTTCAGTCTGTTGTGGAAAAAATCCTTGGCAAACATGGAACAATTGTTAACAAGCACTATCCCCAAGATCCAGAAACCAAAGAAACTCTTGGTTATGCTTTTTTTGAATTTAGTTCTCCTCAAGGGGCATTGACGGCTGTGGAAAAAGGCAACAACTACAAACTTGATAAACAGCATACTTTCAAGATTAATTTGGTGACAGACTACAAGAAATTTGAAACTATCTCTGAAAATTGGGAGCCCCCAAGTCCACAACCTTTCAAAGCATCTGCAGATTTGCATAGCTATCTTTTGGACCCAGATGCGTATGATCAATTCTGTATTGTAACTGGAATACCAGGAAATACTTTGGTACAAGTTTGGCAAAATAGCCAGCCTGAACCAGTTATTGTAGAAGACCGCCCTGTTAGTATTTTAAAGCATTTATAAAAAAAAACCATTGTTTGCCTTGTACTAATGAATGTTTATTTTTTTTAGCGATGGACTGATACTTACATCAAATGGTCCCCATTGGGTACCTATTTAGCTACCTTCCATAAGCTTGGAGTTGCGCTATGGGGGGGTCCTAAATTTGAACAACAACATAAGTTTGTTCAACGCAATGTTGAGTGCATTGATTTTTCTCCTCTTGAAAGATATCTTGTCACTTACTCGCCAAGAGATGACTCAACTGATAAGAAACTAACCATGTGGGACATCTTAACTGGACAGAAGAAACGATCATTTGAAGTTAAAGGTCCATCTATTTGGCCAATTTTCAAATGGTCTCATGATGACAAGTATGTTGCTTGTATGGTTGAAAATGCTCTTTGCGTCTATGAAACACCGGTAAGTTATTATTCTTAATTGAAAGTGAATCAAATTTGAAAAAAACTGGTCTGACAAATTTAAATTTTCCTATCACAGTCCTTTGGTCTTCTTGATAAAAAAAGTATTAATACACCTGGAATCAGAGACTTCAGTTGGTCTCCCACTGATAACATTATTGCTTTCTGGTTGCCTGAAGATAAGGACGTTCCAGCTCGAGTCACCCTCATGGAAATTCCTAGCCGAAACGAGATTCGTAAGAACAATCTTTTCAATGTTGCTGACTGCAAAATTTTCTGGCAAAAATCTGGTGACTACTTGTGCGTGAAAGTAGATAGATTCTCAAAGAAAAAAGAAAAAACCGAACAAAAATATACGGTAAATAGATTCAAAACTATTCAAAATACACTGATTATTGTTATGAAAAATGGAGTTAATGTACATTGTTTCTTTTTCTTTTTTTTTTTAACAGGAAAGTTGCAAGTTCCAAAATATACAACATTTCGCAGGAATGTCATATAACTTTGAAATTTTCCACATGCGTGAAAAACTGATCCCTGTTGATAGTATTGAAATGAAAGAACCTATTCATGCTTTTGCGTGGGAACCTGTCGGCAGTAAATTTGCCATAATTCATGGTGAAGTTCCTACTGTCAACGTTAGCTTCTACGGAGTTCGTGTGGGAAATCAGCCAGCATTCCTTAAAAAATTAGAAAAAAGAGCATGCAATCACTTGTTCTGGTCGCCATCTGGTCAATTCATTGTTATGGCTGGTTTGACAACCATGTCCGGAGCGCTTGAATTCGTTGACACAAATGATTTCACCAGCATGAATCTGACTGATCATTACCAGACTTCTGATGTTGAGTGGGATCCAACTGGACGTTATGTTGTAACATCAGTGTCAAGTTGGAAAACGAGTGTGGATAACGGATATTGGCTTTGGACGTTCCAAGGTAGAATTCTAAAGCGTATCAACCTTAATCAATTCAACCAATTTAACTGGAGACCAAGACCACCGTCTCTACTTACTCCGGAGCAAATAAAGGATATCAAGAAAAATTTGAAGAAATACTCTTCACAATTTGAAAGCAAAGATAGATTGAGACTCACTAGAGCTTCTAAGGAGCTTATCGAGAAACGCCATCAACTCATGAAAGAATTTGAGACTTATCGTGCCGAACGTATTGAGCAATTTACAAAGCAGAAGAAGAGACGTTTAGAATTACGTAAAAGTAAGTGTTTTATTTTCAGTGTTTATTTTGAAACTGTGATACTTTTAATAATTTGCATAAAATATTAAATCTAAAAATTTTTTCAGACATTGATACTGATGAACTGGATTCAGACACTAAGAATATGGATGAGGAAGTAGTCGAATTTTTCGTAAAAGAAGAAACTTTTATTGTTGATGACAAATAAATTAAAATCATTTTGTCATCATTACCCGCTTCAACATCATATCCTCTTCCTCGTGAATACTTGCATTTTTGTTAAGTAAAAACAAGTAAGGGGATATATATTATATAGAAAGACGACCGCAACTTAAAAAAACACTCAAGCAGAAGAGAATTTTTAGACGAAAGTAATAACTGTCGATTTTACGACATATTTTCAAAAAGTAATAGAAAAAAAAACTTTGAAAAAATTATTTAAAATTTAAAAAACGAATACAATGGTCACATTTAATAGTGAACCATCTGTTTTCAATAATTATAATTATTATTACATTGGCTTTTATCATATTCCTTATAGGATAGCATGCCAAAAGTATACTGTTTTACCAACTTTTCAATAATTGTACCATCTAACTTAATGTGAAAATAAAATTTTTTAAAATAAATTGTGCACAAATTGATTTCATCATAATTTTATCCAAGAAAATAAGAAATAAATATGAAATACTTGAAAAATATGTTTTTATTACATTCACACAATAGTATGAATTGATTAACTTGCAAAATCATGACAAAAGGAACAAATTTATAAATATAAATAAGTTTATTAAAATCACGAGATTTTGCATTTGAAAATAAAACATCACAAAATTTGATATTCAAATAAAATTGAATACAATTCAAAAGAACAATTTCATAAATTTTTTCTATAAATAATACTTGATTATTTGTTTCAATCAACAAAACACTTACATTGCATAGATTATACCGTTCAAAAAATCTTTCAAAAGTAATACCGGAAGAAATACACTGCCATTCTAACCCACGCAGGTGGTAATCTTTCTTTTTGGGTAAAAGTTTTTTCAGTTACTGGAGTAGCCTTTTCAAACAGTCGCTTGTGTTCCTTTTGCAACGAATCTTGCAGAGCTTCATTTTTCGTAACAATAGCAATTTGCGTTTCTAAATCTTTTTCTACTGATCGATAACCTTCAACAAAACAAAATTTATTAAAATATTCTTAATATTTCAAAGCAATAATTAATTGAGTAAATACCAAAATTAGGTGAGCCAATAAGCGTTAAAGAAGGTTTATCATGGCCAGGTAGAGAATACCACAATCCTTTTGCATGATAAGTCCATCCAGCTTTGACAAACTCCCATAATTTGACACGATTATTTTGTTTCAATTCTTTGCATTGATTGAAAAATGATTTTTCTATTTTTGTATAAGCAGCCGGAATACCTCCTGCTACACCTTTTGCTCCTGTTAACAGGATATTTATTTAAAAAGCATTCATTTAGATGAAAAATCATTAAAATGTTATTATTATTTACCATAAAATCCATTTGCTTCTGGATGTGCTGTTAGCAAATGACAATCAGCTTGACAATCTTTGAGAATAGCATTTTTATATTCAGATGTTAAGTTGAAGTATCCGGTTGCCAATCTCAAAGTGGCACCAGCTGGTGCATTTTCTAATAGTTTTAATGTTATTTTGCTATCATGTTTTAGATTTATTTGGGCCATTTGCACTAATGGAAAAATCCATGTATCTGATTTTGCTATTTTCAACAAATTTTTTAATTTTCTAATTTTAGTGAAATTGTAATTTTGATTTAAAACTTAGTAAAAGAAATAATACACTACCTGATGCATTAAGTTCAGAACGTTGTTCAATTTCTGACTGAAGTAAACCATGTATTTTCTGATATGCTTCAGCAGTAAAGAGATCTTCAGATGTTTCGGTTGGATGAGAATCACTATGATAATGCAATCCACCATAAGAATCTAGTTGAAAACTGAACTCTGTGACTTTTTTTACTAGCTTATGATAAAAATCACATAAATCTGGACTATTTTCAATCATAAAATAACGGTCTTGCCTATTATTAAAGTAGTCATTGCTCAAATTTGCTCTAAAAATAAATAATATTGAGAAATTAAATAATATGTCAATCATATTTTAAATTAATAAAATGCATATAGTTACCCGCTTATTATGAGAGTATCATCTATCAAGTACACTTTCATGTGTTGCAGTCCTATTAATTCATTAAACCGTGTGGGAATGAATTCTTTTAAATATCCCCTCAATTTCGGTGTGTGATAAAAAAATACTTTGCAGTTTTTTCTCCTATCATTAATAAGCATTGGCATAAGCATATGTATAGAATTGATTTCACCCCTAGAACCTCTCTGGTAATCTAGTAGAATATTTACTTCCACATTTTTTGATTGTGATTCAACAGTTTCTCTAATACTTTTAACTAATTCCTGTTCTAATTTACCAGTTCCCAAATACAGAGAAGCCAGAGTGATTCTTTTTTTGGCAGTCTTACATTTTTCCAAAAGTGTTGTATAAAAATCTTTTGGTTCATAAATCACAGTGACCTGAAAATATATTTTTTAAATTACTAAGCTGATTCTGTCAGTGAACGAAATATTGCAAGAAAAAAGGAGTTACTTTGGAGCCATCGACAGGAAAAGCCGGAGCAACCTGATGCAGCCAAGAAAAGCCTGAAAACTGCACTTTGGTAGAAGTGAATTCTTCGAAATTTTCATTTTCTTCGTGTATCATAGCTGCGTGCATTTTATATCTGACCACTGATTTAGTTAATCTTTGCCTGCGAACCTTTGTCCTTGAAAATCTGGACAAAATTTGACGGATTATTTATTGCGTACAACTTTTATATTCTAAATGTATGCAAACGTATAGAGAGCATAAACACAAGAAAATGAATGTAACAAAAATATTTACCTGCTAAATGATTTGGAGCAAATTGACAGTGCTGACATAATCCGTTGAAAATCTAAAACTTGAATTTGATGACAACGTTGTAATAAGAATGTATAAGAAAAAAAAGTTAAAAAGGACAAATTGTATCGTGCAAAAGTATAACGACACGTTTGGCAAGTTGGTTAAAAAGTCTGCACAACGCAGTTTCGTAGCAGACGATTCGATGTTAGTAAATATATATGATGCAAATATCGTGTACCGCATGCGCGATTGCAGTATCGCACTCCCTGTTTAAAAAAAATCGCTGGATTTCCAATTGGAAAATCTAGCAGGATTGGACTGGAAATCGAACTCGATTCGACTAGAAATCGAGCTGTATTTGACTAGAAATCTAGCTCGATTTTTTACTGGAAATCCAGCTCGATTTTCGATCCGAACTCCAGCTCGATTTTTAAACTGAAATCTAGCTTGATTTTTGACTAGAAATTTAGCTCGATTTTGGACTGGAAATCGATCGATTTCAGATCAAAAATCAAACTAGATTTAAGGCCAAAATTCGAGCTGGATTTTCAAAACTCAAGCTAGATTTCAGATCGAAAATCGAGCTGGATTTCCAGTCAAAAATCGAGCTAGATTTCCAGTCAAATACAGCTCGATTTCTAGTCAAATCGAGTTCGATTTCCAGTCATATCCTGCTCGATTTTTCAACTGGAAATCCAGTGATTTTTTTTAAACAGGGACTAACAAGCGACAGAACTAGAAGTGCTACAAGTCGTACCGCGGCGTGAACAGCTAAGGCCTAAGAGGAACGTGATTTTCGTAAAAAAAAGTTAAAAATAATTAACAACATATAACTGTGGTTTTTGTGCTTTGAACGATGGCCGCGTCTAACAATCAATTCGATGCAGTTCTCGATTTCGAAAGCGACGACCATAATAATTCGAACTCGTAGATCATCTGGGGCAAGTAAAAACTTGGAAAAATTAAAGAGCCTATGAGATAAGGTGAATTGGGAGAATAAACATGATCGACGCGACCTTCTCAAAAAACTTTATCCTTCGATCGAAAATTGGGAGGGCCAAATTCCTAACCTCCACAACATTTTTCTGCCCGAAGAGATCGAGTGTCTTATCTCGGACTGCATGGATTGCATAGGTGAACGCCGGGGTCTGGACGATAATCGTAAAAACGAAGCTTTCATGGTGTTCGTGGCTCGCGCAGACTTCAAAAAGAAGCCTCGTATCGACGACAATGGCAAGCCGCTGCTGCTTCGTACCACGCCACTGCATCTAGCAGCTAAATACAATTTTTTTGACAAGGATATCGTGGTCCGTGGACTATTCGAAATCTACGACAGATTTGATTATGTACCGACGAAGATACCGGCCTCACACACTTTCATCTGGCCTGCACGTTTGAACTCTACGATATCGTCGAAAGATTCCTCGCGTACGGGCAAGATCCGAATAGCATCTGTCAAAAGACGGGTAATTCGCCGCTTCACATGGCTCTGAACCATGGCTGTTACGATGTGTCACGATTACTGCTGAGATGCGCCGATTTGAATTTGCCCAACAAGGACGGAAGGACGCCTTTGCACGTGACTTCCAGGAAATACGGCCACGACGGCGCAACGATTGTTCGAGATCAACGACCTCGTGAAGCGTCAAACGGTGTAAGTCGATGCTCGGGACAATTGACGTTTTCGCACGCAGAGAGGTTTTTCGTATCGAGATTGACGCGCGCGAGAGAGTCGAAAATAACGAATCGCTCTTTTTTTGTTGCCTTTCATTTGAGTCCTTTGCACGCACAAATACACGTCGACGTGGTGTACGTTTTACCAAAACACGTAAAAGCAGTATTGAGAAAGAAGGAGTATCTTTTGTCGACATTTTTATGATCAATTGTGTCAATCTCAAGGCAGAGCGAGTCCAGACACGCAGACACGCTACGCGCGCACAAACGCATCTGTATCAAGGGGTATATATATAATATATATGGGTCAGATTCAGAATTTTTCAAATAAACCTGCGGGCGAAGTTCACGGATTTTCCTGAAATTTTGGTATGTTATAGTACACGATAAAAAAGTGCCAAAACCAAAATTTTGGACCCCCTCCCCCCTCCTACCCCCCTCTTCCCCTATAGACGTCCATTTTCTATCTATATTTTTTCTGAAGGCCTGAAGCTATTAAAAAATCTGAAAAAATTCATGAAGGTACTTTTCAACAATCCGAACAACCTTGAATTTTTTCAGATTTTTCGAGTGCTTCAGGCCTTCAGAAAAAATCATTGAAAATTTAAATTATTTTATTTTCGGTGAAATGGTTCGAT